CCACACCTGAGCGGTGGGTGGGGGCCCTAAATACAAATTGGGGGGGGGGACCTAATGTCCTCTCCCTGGCCCCCACCCCTGAGCGGTGGACGGGGTGGGGCCCTATTGCCCCCGGCCCCCACCCTTGAGGCGGCTGGGGGCCCTAAAGTGAAAAAAGGGGGGAGGACCTATTGTCCTCCCCACCGTCCCCCACCCCTGAGCGGTGGTTGGGGGCCCTAAACTAGAATAAGGGGGAGGGGACCTAATGTCCTCCTCCTCCCTGGCCCCCACCCCTGAGCGGTGGGTGGGGGCCCTAAATACAAATTTGGGGGGACCTAATGTCCTCCCCCGGGCCCCACACCCCTGAGCGGTGGGTGGGGGCCCTAAACTAGAATAAGGGGGAGGGGACCTAATGTCCTCCCCCCTGGCCCCCATCCCTGAGTGGTGGGTGGGGGCCCTAAACAAGAATAAGGGAGGGGACCTAATGTCCTCCCCCCTGGCCCCAACCCCTGAGTGGTGGGTGGGGGCCCTAAACTAGAATAAGGGGGGTGGGACCTAATGTCCTCCCCCCTGGCCCCCACCCCTGAGCGGTGGGTGGGGGCCCTAAATACAAATTGGTGGGGGGACCTAATGTCCTCCCCGCCGGCCCCCAAACCCCTAGTCACCCCTTCCCCCAAAAAATGAACCCCTACCTACCCCCCACCCTAAAAATAATAACTTTAACTAAGTACCTGTAAAAATAAACTTACAATTTGATGTTTTCTTTCTTCTAAAATCTTCTTTTTTCAGCCCCCCCCCCCAAAAAAAATCCATCTTCACCCATGGAGGGCTCAGCACAGACTGAGCTCTGCAGGGCGGGGGAAGGCTTATAAAGCCTTGCCCCGCCCTGCAATTAGGCTCAGAGCACTCTGATTGGTGGGTTTAAGCCATCCAATCAGAGTGCTCTGACAGGTAAATAAAGAGACTGACAGGTAAGTCTCTACAATTACCTGTCACAGCACTCTGATTGGTTGGTTTGAATTTCACCAGAGTGATGTGTGTCATTTTACACAGCGTGGGAAAGTTCTTTGGAATTCTCCCACACTGTGTAATTTGACTCATAACACTCTGGTTACTTAATCCACCAATCATAGTGTTATGAGTCCAATTACACAGAGTGGGAAAAGTCCTTTCCATGGGGGAGGACAATAGGTCCCTGTAACAGGACTATGCTTTCTACCTGGACACATTTACAATAACACAGATGGATTTACAAAATACCGAATTGCCTGTTTCATGTGAATTACCATTACCTGAGAATGAAGCCAAGCTACCGAACACCGGACCACCCAGGGGAACAATTAAGCGATACTTTACCTCCCAGCTCTCTTCAGCAGTTCGTATGTTTCAGCACGAATCCTTTGTGCTCAGGTTAGATGGCCGCCATTTCAGGACTTTACACGTGTTCGCGGCCATCTTACGCACGAACAGCGGTGTTTGCCAGTGATTGCATGGAACTAAAAACGGATACGCAAACAGGCGAACACCGCTGAGACCTCCGTGACACCATAGATTCGTGCCGGAACTACCGAACAACCGGCCGTTCGGTAGTTAGACTAAAGCTTACATGGGGATTCCAGCGAACACCGGGATGAATGTGGATGGCAAGGGTTTCGTGGGGTTTTTATGCACAACAGAGACCGACCGCAAGGCCAAAACTTACGGAACTATTTTCGGCTAGAAAGTCTGTGCGGTCGGTCAAAACTTCAAAGACCCATAACTCCCGAACCCCTCAACCGAATGAGCTGGAATTTGGATATGTTGTTCCCCTGAATGAGAGCTATCTGGCAATACTAGATTTAAAGATGTACCCCCTGTTTTTGGGGTACATCCACAACTTGGGAAAAATTGTGTATGCTTTAATTATGTTAAATGTTTATCTGAGGGGAGGAGACATGGGGGTTGTACCATGTAAATGATTGGTTATTGTGATAATTATGTAGGTGTAGCCCTTTCCAGGGCAGCATTGCATAAAAGGAGACCCCTGTCAATAAACATCAGTTCTACTTGACCCTTCAAAACGTAGCCTCGTCTCGTTCTTGGAAGGGGATTTATTGTACAGTTACTCTGCCTCATTTTACAGTGATGCCTGCTTGTACCCTTGGATATCGTGGATGGGAATAAGAACTCCATTACTTCACAGCAGCTTGCCTACAAAAGGACGTCTCCAACGGCAGATACCCCTTACCAGTTGGGTAGCCGTTACAGTCTCCCCCTCCCCCCAATTTGTATTTAGGGCCCCCACCCGCCGCTCAGGGGTGGGGACCAGGGGGGAGGACATTAGGTCTGTGACGAGACCAATCTCGCCACATTGCATTGGAGAAGCCTGGTTGCTCGCCTGTTGCCTTTGGATTATGGCCCCATGTCAAAAGGCTTGATTTTCCCCTGCAAAGACATGAGAGCCGGGTCATTTGGTGCATGCCCTGTTTGAGCTGTGATACACCAGATAGCTATGCCATGGAGCCCATTCGTATAATGAAAGACTATGGGAAAGACTTTGGCTCCATGGCAATTGAACTGTATGTGTGTGCTCTGAGCGCCATGCAGTAATAATGTGCGCTCAGATCTGAGCTATCTGGGGATATGTTGAATGTACCTGTTTTGTGCAATGGCTGCACAGTTATGTTTTTATGTGTTTTATTGTCTTTTTCTGCCATGTGTTCAATGGAGTTTTTCCTCTGTCTTTGGAGATAATTGGATTACTTCCCAATTATCTCCAGGATAAAAGACTCTATGGAACTGGTTTTGGGCAGAAAAGCCATGCTTCCTTTGGTCACAAAGGACTACGATCTATCTTTTGAACCATTGGACCAATTTGTATGATTTTGATGTATGTTTGTATTTGGAGTATGCTGATTTTGAAAATGTAAGTTTTATGTGAATGTGATGCATGCTTTTCAAGTTATGAATAATGTGGAAAATTTGTATTTGTCTGCTTGTGCTAATTACATTACCCATTGTGTAAGGTAATTGTATCACAGGCAGAGGGGAGGAATTTGTGTGGGAGTGTCTGAGTGTATTGTATGTGTTTATTGGTTGTGTTCCAAAACCCTGTATGATAATACAAACATACGTCAAAATCATACAAATTGGTCCAGTGGTTCAAAAGATAGATTGTAGTCCTTTGTGACCACAGGAAGCATGGCTTTTCTGCCCAAAACCAGTTCCACAGAGTCTTCTATCCTGGAGATAATTGTGAAGTAATCAAATTATCTCCCAAGACAAAGGCAAATCTCCATTATGCACATGGGGATACTAAAACAAGCATTACTGTTAAAATACACCAGGTAAGACACATTACATTAAAACTATACATTTAACATATCCCCAGATAGCTCAGGTCTGCGCGCACATTATTAAGTGAATGGCACTCAGACCACACGAATACAGTTTAATCGTCATGGAGCCAAAGTCTTTACAGTCAGTTTCATACGAATGGGCTCCATGGGATTCCGATCTGGGGTATAACACATTCAAACAAAACTACAGAACACCGGGCCATACGTGCCCTTCCACCAAACAATAAGGGAGGTCGGCGGCTTCAGCGGTGTTCGCGCAAAACTGTGTCCGATTTTAGTACCATGAAAATAGAGACGAACACCGCTGTGCATTCGTATGTTAAAAACGGCCGCAACCTCGTGTTCGGGATATGAATGGCGGCCACCCAGCATTTGTCAATTAAGCTGCGGTTAACCGCAGCTTCAGGGAGGTTAATTGCCGGCACACTCCAGCTCCCAGGTGGTCTATTCATTCGTGCGGTTGTTCGGTAGATTGAATTTACCGAACAACCGGCAGAAAAGCACGAATACAGCTTTTCTGCAGGCGAAATAAAGTCTTTTAACAGGGGGCCATAGTCCAGAGGCAGCAGGCGAGCAACCAGGCTTCTCCAATGCAATGTGGCGAGATTGGTCTCGTCACATCTCTCCCCTTTTCCAAACAGACTAACAGGGTATCTGACCTCCTGCCGGTCAGTGCCCTTGTTAGTCCAGCAGCCCACCCACAAAACACAATCAACAGCACAGCCCACCCACAATAAATGGTTACTGCACCTGTGTAGAGGAGAAGCTTGTCCATGTCCAGGTGCCTCACCATGGCTGTGCTGGGTATGGTTACACTGACTTGGTGGGTTGCTGCGTGGGCAGAGACCAGCGGTACTCTGCCCTGTTGCCAGCGCTACTCGGAGGGTAGCATGGTTGAAGCCTGGTTGTTGGAGGGGGAGACCGACTGTCTCCCCTTTAGACACACCGCCCTGCTGCTGGAGACCGACTGTCTCCCCTTTGGCTAAACAGCCCTGTTGCTGGGGGGCAGAACCGACCGTCCCTACCCCCTGTGCTGTACGTGCAGAGACCACGGTCCCATCTGCACAGTTGTGGGGCTTACTGTCTCCCCTCCCACTGGAGTAGGAGGAGTTTGCCGTTACTGCTGGAGAGGGAGCTGCTCTGTGCTTCATCTGTGTGTTCCCAGGACCACACCCGTTTGTGGCTGCTTTGGAGCTCGATTTCTGGGCTTTGGAATTACTACAGCAAGGGGCTCTGCCTGGGCCTAGGCAAGCATGGCCCTCGGGCCTTCCTCCCCAGCCTGGGGATGGAAGGTCAGGCTGGACGAGCTGCAGGCAGTGCTGGCTTTTGGGGAAGGTAAGGCGGATACCAGGGGCCTGTCTTGGACTGAGCATCAGGCCCTCTCCCGGCAAATACGAAACCAGGTCTCCCTGTTGGAGGAACTGGCGGGGGGGATGTCTAGGAAGCTTACAGCATGGAAAAGGGAAGTGGGGGTCCCCCAGGGAGCTACGGCCCACACCAGGGCCGATATCCAGCTGCTCTCTGGGCTGCTGGCTGAGTGCCGTGAACTTGCCAGCAGTGGCCTCCACTTCCTAGAACAGCCCCCCCCGTCCCTGGAGGTGGGAGAGGGTACCGAGGAGGAGGTAGTCCCTGAGACCCCCCCTGAGGTGGCTAGTGCCAGCAAGGCCCCTCAGGCCTCCCTCACCTATGCTGAGGCTGCAAAGGGTGAGGGGGTTGAGGCTAGGGTCTTTATGGGGCTACCTTCTGACAGGCTCCGGGGTCTGCTTGTGTCCCTGAAGGCCCAGCATGCCGAGGCAGACTCGGGCCTAGCTGGGGTCCAGGCAGAGCTAAGGGAGCAGAGGGAAAAATCAAACAGGACCTCTAATTACAAAAGAGGTCCTTTGAGGGCCGCTATAGCTGAGAAAAAATTAGTGGAGCAGCATCTATCCTACACCCTGCTCCAGACTGAAAAGAAAATAGCAGACATCCAGGCCATCCTGCAACAGAGAGCCAAGGACGCTGCGAGGTCCAGGAGGCAGAGGGCTATGGAGGGCAGGAGGGACATGTCCCCAGGTGAGGAGTCCAGCAAGGACTTGGATTCCAACTCCCATCACTCACCTGGGGAGCCGTCTACCTCTGCCCTTGCTACTCCAGGGGGCGCTGCTGAGACGGAGGGGAAGGCCAGAGAGAAGGACAGTGAAGAGGAGTGGGACGGAGAGAAAGGTGAAGAGTGGCAGCTGAAAGTGCAGGACAGAGGTCGAGGGCTGATTAAGGAGTCTCTCCTCAAGTTTGGAAACGAACTTGGGGAGGACTCCGTAAAGGACAAAAAGAAGAAAAAGAAGAAAAAGAAAAACATCGCCCGGCGTCAGCCTGAGACCTCTGTCAGGGGGTCTGGAGATTCCACAGAGGAGGGTGAGTGCTCAAATGCTGAGTATATGTACAATGATGATGTTCAGGCCTTGCAGAAGCCTGGGGCCAGGGATACTAACCCTGCAGGTGGCAACACCTGTATGCCCCAGAAACCTGCACAACCTGCTTCTGTGGAAGTATCTGGGCCCCCCGCCGCCCTCCATGGTGACAGGGAGACCATCCCCGCCGGTACTATGGCGTGTACCGGTGATCCCATGGAGGGGTCCTTCCCTTGCTCCCTTCCCACTCCCTCCCTTACCTGCCTTCCCTCTGACCTTCCTCTCCGTGTGGTTGCGTCCCCTGGAGTGGCTGGTACCTCTGCCTCCTGTCCTCAGGCGGCTGCTGGGCAGGATGGCACTGGATGGAGCAGTCTGGAGCAGGGTGATGGCCCTCCTTTTCCCTCTGCTCCCTTGGAGCAAGCTCGACTGCTCTCCCCTACCAGCAAGTCTCCTCCCCTGTTTGTCCCCCAGTCTGTTTCCCTGGATGTGTCCAAGTTTGTCTTCCAGTCTGTTCCCCCTGCTTCCCTATGTGTTCCCCTTATGTCTGAATGTGTAACCAGTCCCCCTGTTGTTCCTGTTGTTCCTGTTGTTCCTGGTGCCGCGGGTGCCGCTGGCGCTATGGAAGACAGGACTGCAGGGGACTCCCATCATCCTCAGCCAGCAGTCCATACTGAGGAAACCGCCAGTGGAGGTAAGAAAAAGACTA